CTTTGATGGTGTTTCTGGAAGAGACTGCCATTTGAATTTTTTTTTTAACGTTTATGAATTTTTGAGACAGAGACAGACAGAGCATGATTGGGGGAAGGTCAGAGAGAGAGGGAGACACAGAATCTGAAACAGGCTCCAGGCTCTGAGCCATCAGCACAGAGCCCGACACGGGGCTCGAACTCACGGACCGCAAGATCATGACCTGAGCCGAAGTCGGACGCCCAACCAACTGAGCCACCCAGGTGCCCTGAGACTGCCATTTGAATCAGCAGACTGAGTAAAGAAGATCCCCCTCATCCATTAGGCTGGATGTCATCCAATCTGTTAGGACCTGAACAGGAAAAAAAAAAAAAAAAGTGGAGAAAGGACAGATTTGTTCTCTCTGCTTGAGCTGGGACATCCACTTTCTCCTGCCCTCAGACATCAGGGCTCAAGGTTCTTGAGCCTTTGGACTTGGACTGAATTATCCCACTGGTTTCCCTACTTTTCTACCTTGCAAACAGCAGGTCTCAGCTTCCATGATTGAATAAGCCAATTCATACAATAAAACTCTATGTACACACACACTCTGTTTCCCTGGAAAACCCTGACTGATACAGGAGGAAAGAATATATTGGGCATGAGTAGACAGCATGAGGTGAAGAAGCCATGCCAGACTAGCTTCTCTTTGTATTTTATGTACAGTATTATATTGTAGTTATTAGATTGTATGTCATTTCCCTCTCTAAACTGCAAGCCCCTCTAGGGAAGGTACCACTGTTTGTATTCTGGTATCTATCATAGTGCCTGACATATAGTAGACTCTCAATAAACATGTGGCAAACTAAACTAGGAAGCCAAGAGTTTACTACTATTTAAAATTAAAACCCTGAATGGGGCACCTGGGTGGCTTAGTCAGTTAGGCACCCGACTTCAGCTCAGGTCAGGATCTCACCGTTCCTGAGTTCGAGTCCTGTGTCAGACTCTGTGTTGACAGCTCAGAGCCTGGAACCTGTTTCAGATTCTGTATCTCCCTCTCTCTCTGCCCCTTCCCTGCTCACACTCTGTCTCTCTCTTTCTTAAAAATAAACACTAAAAAAAATTTTAATAAAAACCCTGATTCAATATAGTATTTCAACCAATAGAGTGCACAGAACACACTTAGTTCTATTTATCCTAAGATATTAATCAGGTCCACCCTGTCAATTTTGGAGGAGTGTCAGAACTTCAAGAGCCCAGGCTGCCCCACCTGTCTGGGCCAGATTCTTCTGTTTGCTCCAATGTGCTAAGTAAACATTACTATTTTCTACGTGAGCCATGATGTGAACAAATTCAGGAAGCAGTGGACTAAAACATTTGTGGGAGTTTCCATAGAGTTTTATTAGTTTGAATTAGGGCAGAGAATACACAGGGTACATCACAGATGGAATAGAAAGAGAAGGTACTGAATGAACAGTGGATCGGAGACAGACTGACCAACAGAGTGACACCATGCCCAGATAAATCCTTAGAAAGGGTTAAGAAGCAGCAACCAAAGAATGACCAGACAATTGGTCCTTGTACTGCCCACCCCAGGTCCTGACATACCCAGCCACATTTCTGAAGGACTGTGAGCCACCTGTGAGTGGGAACTGTGGGATGGAGTAAGGGACAGATGTGGCTTAGTTGGGGACCATCTATCCTGTGGAAACCCACATTGGCCAGCCAGAATATGTTTGTGGCTGTTGCTTTCCACAAATCCCAATATGTTTCAGTGGGTAGGTAAGTGAGAATAAAGGAGAAAGAAGCTTTAAAAGAAACTTTAAACCAAAGAGAGACAATACATGACTTTCGTTTTGCTTCCTAACAAGTCTTTTGACCACTAAACTGATTTTGTTAGATGAAAAGATCCAACACTACACAAATTTAGAAATGTAGCTCTTTGTTTATATCTTTTTGTGTTTTTAAGATTTAAATAGCAATCATCTTAAAGAAAATAAAGTCAATCACTATATTAAAGTCTTTGATAGCAAATACCTTATAATGCATCTCAAATTTTTTTCAGATGGTATTTATATCTTCATGTGTAAAGTAGGTTTCTTTAAATGGCATATACTTGGATCTTGTTTTGGTTAAGTCTGACAATCTCTCTTTTTTAAAAACTAGTATGTTTTCATTGTTATTTATTTATTTATTTTTGAGAAAGAGAGTAAGCAGGGGAGGGGCAGAGAGAGAGGGTAACAGAGAATCACAAGCAGGCTCTGTGCTGTCAGCAAAGAGCCTGACACAGGGCTTGAACTCGCGAACCAGGAGATCATGACCTGAGCTGAAATCAAGAGTCAGATGCTTAACTGACCAAGCCACCCAGGCACCCCTAACAATCTCTTTTAATTTGAGTCTTTAGATCATTTACCACTTAGTATAATTACCCATATGCTTGTGTTAAAAAAAAATTTTTTTTTTATCTTGATTCATTTTTGAGAGACAGCGTGTGAGCAGGGAGGAGCAGAGAGAGAGGGAGATACAGAATCTGAAGCAGGCTCCAGGCTCTGAGCTGTCAGCACAGAGCCTGACATGGGGCTTGAACTCACAAACTGTGAGATCACAACCTGAGCCGAAATTGGATGCTTAACCAACTGCGCCACTCAGGTGCCCCAATATGCTTGTGTTTAAATCTACCATATTGGAGACATTGTTATTTGCTTTCTACTGCTCTCGTCTGTTCAGTATTCCTTTCTTCTTTCTGCCTTCTTTTGTATTAATTGGATGTTTTTCAAACCCATTGTAGAGGAAATAATAGTTGGAATGTTTGGCTGAAAGACAGGAGCAGGGCAAACTATGGAAAAGTGTGTTAGTACCACTTCTGAACACATAGATTTCTCACAGGACCATAACACATTCCATTATTTTACATTTTCTTTTGAGAGAGAATGTTTAGAGTCTTACAGTAAGTATACCCTGTCTGTTAGGTACAGCAATAATTTATTAACCCTTTCACTTTGCCAAGAGAAGAAAAACTGTTACATAGTCAATGTCCAGCAGTTACTCTATTACCTGAGGTTCTTCTGGAACAGAAATCCTAGATGCCTAGAATTAGATTATAGATGTCAACACATAATAAATCATATCTAAGACTACAGATACTCATTTACACATTGCTTTTCTAAAGGGTTGGTGTGGAATATTTTTGTTAAGAGGAGACAAAAAAAAACAATAGTGGAGAAGGGTAGATGAGCATGAGATACTCAATTCTCATGCCTTTTTCAAATATTAAATAAATATCATTATTTTAAAGAAAAGTTTCAAATATCTGATTTTACAGATAAGAAAACTGGGATAAAGTAATTAAAGAATCAAAAATATCAAGTTAGGAGAGGTGCTTGTTATTCATTTCATGGTTCTCTTGTACATCATGAGAAATACACGATTGGAGAAAGATCAAAGATGAAAATACACAGGTCAGGTGCATTCAGTCACTCAAGTCATAAAAGTAAACATGCTGCTCAAGAGATTTGGAGACAAAGAATTTACGGATTCTTACCTGAGTCACAGGAACTCCACATTGAGTGAATCACAGTTTATAAGGCATGCCTGAAATATGTTCATATTTGGATGCCCTTGAAGACTCAAAACTTTAACATACTTAAATATTTGAAAATTTGGAATCAAAACATAAATGGAAAAAGATGAAACGGCCATGGATGTAACAACCATTTCATTGTGCTCACATATTCTTTGCTATTGTCACCAAAAATGTTAACCAGCCTGCAAAAACATCTCTTAAGTTTCCCATAATCCCTTAGGAATACCAAACCCTAGATAAGAAGTCCTGAGTTAAATGTATCCATCGTTGTTTGTTTACAGATTTTGCCCACACTAGTACAATATTAAAATATTTGTAAAAAAAACTTTTAATGTTTATTTATTCTGGAGAGAGCACACGTGAGCGGGGGGAGGGGCAGAAAGAGAGGGAGACACAAAATCCGAAGCAGGCTCCAGGCTCTGAGCGGTCAGCATAGAATCTGAAGAGGGGCTCAAATTCAAGACTGGTGGGATTATGAACTGAGCCAAAGTCGGATGCTCAACCGACTGAGCCACCTAGGTGCCCCAAACTGAGATTTCTTCATTTCAAAATTTCCCCACCGTTTAGAAAAGTAGTAAACGTTTTCTCCAGGCCCAGCCCTCACAAGAAGATTTTCTGTAGCAGACAAGAGAGACAATTTCCTGGTTTTGTGTTCCAGCATGGACTCCAGACTGTTACAGTAGAAAAATAGTCTTGAACGCTGCATTAGTTTTCTACAGCTGCCATAACAAAACACTGCAGACTGAGTGGCTTAAACAACAGAAATTTGTCTCACACAGTTCTGGACGGTAAGAAGTCCAAGATTAAGATGTTAACATGTTTGGTTTCTTTTGAGGCCTTTCTCCTTGGCTTACAGATGGCCGCCTTCTTGCTGTGTTCCCACACGGTCTTTCTTCTTCTGTGCTTGGTGACTCTGGTATCTCTTTGTGTGTCGAAATTTCCTTTTCTTATAAGGACATCAATCAAAATGGCTCGGCCCAACCTAGAGCTTCTTTTTAATTTGATCATCACTTTAAAGGCCCTATCGCCAAATATAGCCACTTTCTGAGGTTCTGGGGGGTTAGAACTTTAACATATTAGTTTGGGGGGCACAACTCAGCCCGTAACAAATGCCAGGACACATCTTTTTTCAAGTTCTGGGCTTTCTGCAAGAAAAAGTTAATTACAAAAAAGTTTTTTTTTTTTTAAAGTTGGTTTCATCCAACAACTTATGTCAATTCTGAGAGAAAACAGCTTTGCAGAGTATCCTGTGATAACAGGGAGCAATCACTAGGATAGAAATGGTGGGCCACATCTAGATAGAGGGCATCTGAGGTAGCCACCCCACCTTCCCACACTGTAACACGTCTCCCTTTTCTGTGGCTCCAAAGCCAAAAGTTTTCTGTGAAGGTTTCCTGGGACGGCTCAAGAGAGGAGCAGAGGCTGGCTGAGTGCGGAATGGCCAGCCTGAAATGGTCTCATGGCTTGGGTCAAAACTAAACCGTTTTCTTTTGACACTGTAACAAGAGGTGTTTCAGAGTTTATGCCGCAGGACTGGTTGCTGACAGTGTGGCCAATGTGGCCAGATACTGACAGGGATGGAGAAGCAGTTGTATGGATGCCGTTAGCCAAGGGCCAGAGTCTGTTCCCAGACTCCTTGGCAATATGTTAAGCCCTTCTGCAATTTAGAACTCCCAAACCTCCCAGAAAAACAGTGAAGAAAAAGGGAAGACTGAAGTGACAATCCATCAAAGAGAAACTGAGTTTAAACTGGAACTAGCTGGGGCACCTGGGTGGCTCGGTCGGTTAAGCGTCCGACTTCTGCTCAGGTCATGATCTCACGGTCCGTGAGTTCAAGCCCTGCATCGGGCTCTGCTGACAGCTCAGAGCCTGGAGCCTGTTTCAGATTCTGTGTCTCCCTCTCTCTCTGCCCCTCCCCTGTTCATGCTCTGTCTCTCTCTGTCTCAAAAATAAATAAACGTTAAAAAAAAAATTTTTTTTTAAATAAAAAAAAAATAAATAAACTGGAACTAGCTGAGTTCACCTTGACCTTATCCACACTTTATTTCCAACTTACCTGCTGGTAAATCAAGATTCCCCATAATATGCTGTTAAAGTAGATTATTTGAACCTGATCCCAAAACTCAACCTTTGTCCTAATTAATTACATTTCAATCTATTGCTACATCATTAGAGATCATTCTGAATTACATTCCTGTCAGTATTTTAGCTAAAATAGGAGCTCATTTCACACTTTAAACATCTAGTTATTTATGAGAACATTTACTTTAAACATTTAGTTATTTAATGAGAAGTTTCCTACTAAAGGACTTCATCCCATCGCATTCTCTCCCTCCACCATCAAAAATAAATGTATGCACACGCAAAAATGAAATAAATGCATACACACACAAACCACAGTAAAATTTCTAAGGAGACATCTCTTTTTGTAGCAAGAGCAGAAAGGGAGAGTATAAAATGACTTTTTTTTTTTTAATTAAGAAACTTAAGGATTTTAAGATTACTAAAGGAATCAAATGGAAAATATTCCTAATGCAGAACTACTGCCATCTTATGGCCACAGCCCAGTATTACAAATCAGTTTTTGGTTCTATTTCGCTCAATGACTTAATATTTAAGTGCTACAGAGATGAACTTTTAGGCATTATTACGTTTTTAGGCCTTATCTTTTGTTTTTTTCCAAATTACTGAATAAACTTTATTGCTTCCCAAAGCAAATTATATGATCCAGGGAAGATGTGTAGATTAGTTTAGATAATATAAAAAGTCAAACATTACAATGTTTACTTTGGGGTATTTAGAAAAACCAATTAAACTGATGAAACAATAAACAGGTCTCCCCCCCACTCCCCAACCAAAATAACAGTTTGGTAAATAACATTTACAATGTAGGTATTAAATGGCAGTATTTTAAATCCACAAAAGGTCACTTAGTGAGTTATTTTAGAGTCTGAAACAAGCGAGCTAATCACTAAGTTACTTTTAGGTAAACAACAAGTAAAAGGCATATCTAAAGTTAAAGTTGCTAAATTATAGTATTAACTGTAGGTTAAAATGTACGTCAGTACGTCAGTGTTAACAATGAAATTCAATTTTAGAAAATCAGCAACTCAGGGCGCCTGAGTGGCGCAGTCGGTTAAGCGTCCGACTTCAGCCAGGTCATGATCTCGCGGTGCGTGAGTTCGAGCCCCGCGTCAGGCTCTGGGCTGATGGCTCAGAGCCTGGAGCCTGTTTCCGATTCTGTGTCTCCCTCTCTCTCTGCCCCTCCCCCATTCATGCTCTGTTTCTCTCTGTCCCAAAAATAAATAAACGTTGAAAAAAAAATTAAGAAAAAAAAAAGAAAATCAGCAACAAATGTAATTTCTTACTTCTGAGCATTGCTGAATTATTTCATAACTTTCTGGTTATAAGAAAAAAATTCAGTACACAGAATACTAAACAATTCCTAAAACTTCACAGCAAAGTACTAACATTATACACAAATAAACGTACCAAAATTCTGAAAACCAACAAATAACCTAAGGAAAAAACTGAAGCATAAGTTCATGTCATTTAGGGATCCTGCAAATGCAAATATTATTTTCGGCATTTGACACAACATGGATTAGAGTCAAATCTCCTTATTGACCGTAGTAGTCTGCTGAGACTGCCCTAACAGTATACCACAGACTTAGTGGCTTAAACAACAGGAAATTATTTTCTCACAGTTTTGAAGGCTGAAGTCCAATATAAAAGTGCCAGTTGGGTTGGTTTCTGGTGAAACCTTTTTTTTGCTTGCAGACTGAATCTTCTCCTTATGTCCTCACAGGGCATTCCCTCGATGCATGTGTATATCTGGTATCTCTTCCTCTTTTTATAACGACACCATCATATTAAATTAGGGCCTTACAACCTCATTTAACCATACTTAAAGTCCGTGTCTCCAAATATAATTACATTGGGGCTTAGGGCTTCAACACATGAATCTGTTGGGGGTGGGGGGAGACACAATTCAGTCCACAACACTGACATATTTAATATATCACTCAAAGAAACAGAAATTAACTGGTTTAAATAGAACACTGAACTCTTGCTTGATAATAGAACAGCTGTGGTATTTTATCAGTACATGTGATAAAAGTTTAGGGGAATCATCTCACATGTCCTTAAAGGAGGCAGACTGAGGTTTGAGGTAGCGGCCAGGAAAGGTGAACAGGGCTCAAAGGAGGAGTAAGATTTCTCAGGATGATTGGAGTGCACTGTTTGCTAAATTCTCCCACAATATGTAAATGTCGTAGACTCTAGCAGAGAGCTTTTTGAATGGACAGGAGGAATGTAAGAAACGTAACAGTTGACACTCAGCAAGTAGATAGGTCCAGGTTTAAGGGTCAACTCCAGTCCCAGGGCCACTTACATCTTGAAAAACGATTAATCCTTCGGTACACTTCCCTCTGGCAATGAATGCACTTGTGCATTTACATTACTAAGGGAAGTCCCTATCCTACATTAAAACAAGGTAACTTTCAAGGAAACTTGTGGTTTTCAAGATGTCCTCTACCAGGTAGCTTGACCTTGGCAGGCATTTGGCAGGGGGCAAAAAGGAATGCTGAAGTCAATGCTCCAGGGACAACAGAGTCATAAAAGGGAAATAAGTACAAGCTGTAAATCAATCCAGCTTTTTCTCTTTTGATTCACAGACATTAAAAACATGGTTGTTGAGCTCTCATCAGTGAACAGCTCCATCTTCTTGAGCATTCTTTCCTCTTCCTATTCCAGAGAGATTTGTTTGGGGCTTTTAAGAGTTATAATGGAACAAGTATTCAATTTATTCAATGGGTCCACTAGGTATAATAAGTGTCCTACCAAACTGAACTATTTATTGCACTAAATTAATCCCTTGATTGGTCTATTAGCCTCATAAAGGTTAGTATTAGTAAGGGTTAAATGTAATTCTCAATTATATTTTCATTATGTCATAACTATTGATTTTTTTTTCCATTGGACAGCTTTCCTTTAAATTTAACACAGAAGTAGTACAAAGATAATAGACTCGTATTTTTAAATGACATTTGTATTTTCTCTTTTAAACAATTTAAAAGATCTCAAAGTCCTAGCCTTTCATATGGGTTCTCAAAATTAAATGCATCCATTGTATGTAATGAATTAACTTTTCTCCTATACATCTAAAATGATATTAGCTATACACAGTCCTTGAGAATTCAGATAATTGTCACTTGAATCATTTTGTCCACTATAAATCTGAAAACCATCTGTCTGCAGAAAATTCTCTACTCTGCAGCATGTTCTATCAACTTTCTGATGTCCTTTCATTGAAAAATTCATTACAATAAAAAAAAAAGAATAACCAAATAACAAAATAGCCAACATTGGTTTCTTTAATCATTAGTGTCATTTTTGCAAAAATGGTCCTTCTAACTCTTTCCTAAAAACTATTTGTTAACTCACTCCAAAAGGTGAAATAGTGAAAGATCTATTTGACTACTTAGGAAGATACAAAAAGATTCAACTCATCGCACGTGGGCAAAAGATCTTCCAAATTCTAGGCTAACTGTGTCAGAGGGTATTAGTGGGTAGAATTTTCTCCATCTTACCTTATTCCGCACAAGAGCAAAGGGTCGGGTCTAACTTTACAGTGTCCTGGTTTCTGTGGCACCTTCCTAACGAAGGGGAGCCCCGGTTAATTTTGTGGCAAGGGCTGCGTGCCAACAGGGATTCATCTGTATCCCCAGGTTCAGCAGTGGTGACATGACCCCCCCCCCC